TTCATAGAAGTGCAGAGATACTTTTTGGATTAAACGAATGTTTGAAAGCAGCATTCATAGAAGTTCGGAGATACTTTTTGGATTAAACGAACGTTTGAAAGCAGCGGGCGCTATTTCTTTCCCGCGCGGCTATGGCCATTTCTCACGAAACTGGAACCACACAGGGGATTTCAGTTCCGTCGGTGTCCCGACACTCAATTTTCCCAAAAATCCTTGGCACACCCCATTTTACTGTTCTTTCAGGGCCTGTTCCACATATTTTATCACTCCGACCAGAAGACAGCACAGGGCGTGAGGTTTGAACATCACTGTGACATCCCATCGCTGAGAACAAGGGGGGTGTTCGCTAGGAGGATGAGTGGGAGATCACAAGGCAGATGTTCCCGTACTAAGTAATGGCATGCTGAGTCCCACCATCTCCACAGTTGAGTCACCATCAGACACGCCAGCAGACAGTGTTCCATGGTAGCTCCGGCAAGCTGCAAAGATTTTCCACGATACGTGCAGATCGGGGAGAGGATGTCTCTTTGTTCCAGATTAGCACGGGTGACAATCCAGTCCAGTTTAGGAAGGCACCTGTGTGCCGTTGGAGTCCCGGCTGGGCTAAACTGTGCTAAGCTCCCAATACAACGAATGGAGCCAAAGTCCAAGTTGTAATGTACGAGGAATATTTCTGCAACTTGTGACTTGGACTGTTTCCGACAGTTAGGACGCATCTTAGTGAGCACAAACAGAAGATGACGTGTCTTTCTCTTCTTCTGATTTTTTGAATGGTTCGGTGATAAATTTTGGCGCATTAATTCGCAGAGAATGACATTTGAATTTTGAGTTCTTGTTGTAGCTCACGTGCATAAATGATAATTTCTTTTTCAATTAGAATTAGCTTGAGATTTTGGGCTTAGACTCACTGAATCTTGCTTGGGTGTAAGGTATAACTGAACTCTGCTAAGCCTTCCTCTCTTTCCCTGCACCTCAATTTTGTTTCCAACCGTCACTCGACAATCCCCCACTCTTGTGCTTGATCATCGGGCGTCACTACCTTTCCTTTCCTCCTGTTCGTTTTGCAACTCATGCATCTTCCTACTTCTCCCTTCTTTTATTAGCCGAAACAATGCAACTGGGATTGATGTGTGGAGCGGGGCTAAATCCCCACGCCGTGATCCAGGTGTGCAACTCGTAGGCACCTCCTTTCTACCTCTCGTTAAACCGCCAGTGTCAGCCGCGGGCAGTCTCGGAAGGCCGAAACGAAAAAAGGGCCGCCGGTTCGATGATCGACTGTGGCCCTCCCCCTTTCGGCCCCCATGTTACCCGGCGTGTCTCAACAAAATAGCTGTGAAAGGTACTGGTGGTTTAATCTAGGGCATGCATTCTTTGCTATAAATTTGGGAATCATGACTTTATCTCATTGACTCTCTGTAATCTAAGTTTTGGAGTTAGTGCAATCAAGAGGATCGGCTAGCAAGCTGAGCTGAGTAACATAGTTGGACAATCCAACGAGCGGGTGGCGATCGTGTGGGGTTGATGTGTCGCTGTGACGGACTACCGGAAACAGGCGAACCTGGCTTGTGTGATCAGACTAACCGAGGTGACGACTCTGAGTAGTTGGTGGGTGTGAGGCGATGAGTTGCCTGCATCGAATTTGGGAAGTGGAGAGAGAGAGAGAGAGAGAGAGAGAGAGAGAGAGAGAGAGAGAGAGAGAGAGAGAGA